CCTTCCCGAGCTGCCCGCGGTGCCCCGCGCCTCGGGCTCCCCCCGCCAGCCTCCCCTCTCGGCTGGAGGGGGCCGACTTGGGGAGGGACGGCAGTTGAGGGCCAAGGGCGCCACGTGACCCTCCCCCAGGAATGCGGTGACGTCACCGGGGGCGTGGCCACCCCCAAAATTGGGGAGGAAGGGCAAAAAAAGCCAGAAAAAGTTTCTTTCCTGGAGTCCCAGGCGAGGTGTGGGGCAGGAAAGGGGGCACGGCCAGAGGCCAGGGCCCCGTGACTGCTGGCTGGAGTCCCCCGTCCCAGGCCATGTCGGGGCCCACCTGGCTCCCCCCGAAGCAGCCTGAGCCCGCCAGAGCTCCCCAGGGGAGAGCACTCCCCCGAGGCGCCCCCGGGCCGCCGCCAGCCCACGGAGCAGGTAAGGCAGCCCCGGTTCGGCAGAGGCGCGGCCTGCTGCCAGGCGCCCACCTCTGCCCTCCAGCCCTGCCTCCCGCCCAGCCTGCTTCCCGCTGCCCCCTCCCCAGGCCCATGGGACCAGCCGCCCAGGCCCTCCTGCAGCCCCTGCCTCCTGTCTCCCTCTCGGGACCCCAAGTTCGGGGAGGAGGTGAGGCGGGCCGAGGGTGCAGCCCCGTGAGCGCGCACCCCTCCTGTCCCCCCACCACCTTCCGTCTCTCTTCCCTCATCTCAGCGCTCCAGCCCCACCCCAGGGTCAACTTTTGCCCCCTCCCATCTGAGCAGTGTTACCAGGCTCCCCCGGAGGAGCGGGGGCCGGCTTGGGTGGGGTCCCATGGAGCACCCCAGCGCTCTCAGGTGAGAACTGGACTCCTGGGTGGGGTACCCAGGGCAGGAGGGGAGATATTGTGATTTGCATCCTCCCTGCTTTGGCTCCATCCTAGGGGCTCCCCCCAGACAGGGGGTGCCTGCGCCCAGGAAGTCTGGATGCTGAGATAGACTCACTGACCTGCATGCTGGCGGAGCTGAACGGGGCCCGGGGCCACGCCCCACGGCGGCCAGACCGACAGGTGATTTCCCCCTGCCCCCGCTCCCCACCCCACCCCACCCCCGTCGCCTTCTCTGGGTTCTGAGACCCAATCCACCCCACCTCCACCAACCCCTCGTGAGTGCCGTGTCTGCTGCGGCTGGGAGGCGGTGTGGGTTGCAAGTACTAGCTTGTCAGTCACATGAGGACGGGACCTTGTCAAAAGCCCGTGCTTCCCTGGGGGCCACACACCGGGTGATTTCCACAGACACAGGTCCTAGGAGGGGCCTTGCTCATGGCTCTGATCTGCGTTTCTCCCCAGGCTTTTGAGCCTCCTCAGCCTCCCGCCTACCGCGCTGGCTCCTTGAAGCCGAACATAGGCGGCCATCCATCCCCACCGATCCCAGCACCCCCCTATGGTGGCCCCACGCCGGCCTCCTATGCCACCGCCAGCACCCCGGCTGGCCCAGCCTTCCCTGTGCAAGTGAAGGTGGCACAACCAGTGAGAGGCTGCGGCCCGCCCAGGCGGGGGGCCTCTCAGGCCTCCGGGCCCCTTCAGGGCCCCCACTTTCCTCTCCCAGGCCGAGGTGAAGCCTGGGGGGCTGGCTACAGGAGCCAGCGAGAGCCAGGGGCGAAGGAGGAGGTTGCTGGGGCCTCTGGCCCTGCAGGAGGACGAGGAGGCGGGCACGGGCACCAGGTAAGCCCGGAGGACTGGGATTTGGGGCACAGCTGGACACCGATTGGGTGGGATGGGGGACAGTGTTTGGGGGATGGCTTTTAGAGCAGAGTCAGAGGCCTGGAGTGTGAAGCAGGCCAGGAAGCACAAAGGGGAGGTGGCCAGAGCTGCCCACTGGAGGGCCCCCGGGCCGAGATGTTCTCAGATCTTCCTGGGTTGAATTGCCTGGCCACGCTCAGGGACTTTTACAGGAACAGGCGCTAGAGGTAGGGCTGGACCCCTGATTCCCACCTTCCAGGTCCCCCTGAACCAGCCCCCCGAGGAGGAGCTGGAGAGGCTGACCAAGAAGCTGGTGCATGACATGAACCACCCGCCCAGCGGGGAGTACTTTGGTGAGCTGACGCCAGGTGGGTGGGACGGGGAAGGCAGGAAGTCCGCCCGGATGGCGGTGCGGCTCCCTGAGCCTGTGCAGACTGATCCTATCCCTCCCTGTTCCCAGGCCGGTGTGGTGGCTGCGGAGAAGATGTGGTCGGGGATGGGGCTGGGGTTGTGGCCCTTGACCGCGTCTTCCACGTCGGCTGCTTTGTGTGTTCTACATGCCGGGCCCAGCTTCGGGGCCAGCATTTCTACGCTGTGGAGAGGAGAGCGTATTGCGAGGGCTGCTACGTGGTGAGTGGCTGGGGGGCTGGAGTCAGTGCCTAGAGGCAGGGGGCTTCCATCCGAGGTGGGAACTAGATGCCCAGCCCAAAAGAGCAACAGAGGGACGCTGGGTGACTCAAACTGATGTACAAGAAGAAAGGGGCTCTATAATCCCAGCACTTTGGGAGGCTGAGGCGGGAGGACTGCTTGAGACCATGAATTTGAGATGAGCCTGGGCAACACAGCGAGATCTCTACAAAAATTAAGAAAAGAAAAAAAACCCAGGCATAGTGGCACATACCTGTAGTCCCACCTACTCGGGAGGCTGCTGCCAAAGGTTTGAGCCCACGAGGTCGAGGCTGTGGTGAGCTGTGATCATGCTACTGTACTCCAGTCTGCATGATACAGTGAGACTCCAACTCAAAAAAAAAAAAAAAAAAGGGAGGAATTGAGCAAGCAGCTAAATACTGGCTGCTGGAGGGAAGGACACAGCCCATTACATGTGTGAGGCATATTGGAGTTAGGGGGCTGTGTTAAACGCTCTTGACACTCCTGTGAGGCAGACGTTAGTTAGTGATCTCAGATCTGCTCAAGACCGTCTTTCGCTGAATCACATGCTGGGTTGTATAAACAGATGGGTGGGCTGGCAGTGTGCTGTGGCTCCCTCTCCTCCACCTTCCTAGCCTCCTTCCCAACAGGCCACCCTGGAGAAATGTGCCACGTGCTCCCAACCTATCCTGGACCGGATCCTGCGGGCTATGGGGAAAGCCTATCACCCTGGCTGTTTCACCTGTGTGGTATGTCACCGTGGCCTTGATGGTATCCCCTTCACAGTGGATGCCACCAGCCAGATCCACTGCATTGAGGACTTCCACAGGTCAGGCCCGGCCCTGTCTCAGGCCCTTTCCTCGCTCCCTCTCCTTCGTGCCCCAGGACTGTCTCCTCCTGTTTCCGAACCATGCCCTCCCTGTCTTTGACATCATCCCTTCCCTAAGACCATACCTGTGGTCTCTCCCGTTCCTGCCTGTGTCCCACCATCTCTGGGCTCCGTTGTTGGTACCCTGAAGCTCGGGCTTGACAGCTTGCTTGGGTCCCTTCCACCCCAGGAAGTTTGCTCCACGATGCTCAGTGTGCGGTGGGGCCATCATGCCTGAGCCAGGTCAGGAGGAGACCGTGAGAATTGTGGCTCTGGATCGCAGTTTTCACATTGGCTGTTACAAGTGTGAGGTCAGGAGGCCTGAGCAGGAGCCCCGAGGGGCTCAGGGCGTTTGGGTAGCGCACTAGGGAGGTGGAGCCTGGGGTCTGGGGCTGATGGAAAGCTGTGGTTTCTTTCCCAACAGGAATGTGGGCTGCTGCTCTCTTCTGAGGGTGAGTGTCAGGGCTGCTACCCGCTGGATGGGCACATCTTGTGCAAGGCCTGCAGCGCCTGGCGCATCCAGGAGCTCTCCGCCACTGTCACCACTGACTGCTGAGCCTTCCTAGAAGCAACTGCTGGGCTCTCGTTCCCGTCGATCACCCTCCCCGATGTCTGCCTTTACAACGTTGCCACCAAGTGCTGTCTTCTTTTTCTCCAATCATGAAATAATAATCCCTCAAAGAGTTTACCACTTTCAAGTCTGTTGTTTCACCTGGTTCTCACAGTAATCGTTCTCACAAGCACGATGTCGTTACTGCCTGCATTTTTACACCAGAGATGCCAGAGCTGAGCAATGACCTCCCCAGACGGCACGGTTCTCATAATGGCAGAGCCAAGATCAGAACCTGGGTCATCTTAGCTCTGGTCCTTTTTTGGGGGGGCAACTTTTTCTGTTTGGTGTGAAGACAGCTCCTCTCGGTGTTGGGAGCAAGGCTGCAGCACGCTCCTGGGAGGCGGCGTTTCCTATTCTCAAACCTCAAACCTCACCCTCGATGCATCGGGAGGGGACTTGGTGTACCCCGGGGGGAGGGGCTGCATTTGACCTGGGGCGGGCCGGTCCTGCCTGTTGCTCGGGCCCTTAACCTGCAGCCTGTCTCATCCAGGTACTGGTTGGGGTTAAGACTGAGATCTGCCAGTCTTGCTTAAAGATGAGGCGACTTTGTCAAGGAGAGATGGAACACTGGGCTTCGTCGGAAGTGCGCACAGCAGGCTGGTTCTCCGGTGGGAGCAGGAAATGGTGGGAGGAGATGCTTTAAAATGGTTGCTTCCAGCGTCCATCCCCTCCGCGCCCGCGCTCCCCAAGCCCATGCCCTGCGCGAGGAGAGGACGAAACCGTCCCCGAGAGGGTCGGGAGGCGCCCCGAGCAAAGGGTTCGTGGGGGACGGCGGCTGGGCGCGAGGCGGCTCAGATGCGGACACACGCGGGGGAGCGCCCCGAG